GCAATGGCACGCAAGCTGACAACAAACGACCAGTTGCAGTACTTTCTTGTCTGCCAAGGTACATCTTTTATATTCTTTTATATTCTTTTATTAACAACTGCTGTGTTGCTTGTGGCAATTGCGGCCCGCCCACATGTGAATCCAGGCCCGCACCAGCAAAAAGGCTATAACGTATCTTCTCGAACTCTAGAATAATTCCGAAAAAATGCCTGAGGTGAGTTCTGCAACGTTACAAGAGCAGCATGTTTCAACACATTGTTCCTGCTGCTGCTGCTGCTGCGAAAACAACAGCTCCCGGCATCTCCCCGTAACAAAACAGACTGGCACTAAAGGACCACCACAAACAGCATTTTTTGCGGAAAGTTCTGTTGCAGCTGCTACTGCTGCTGCTGCTGCTGCCGCTGCTACTGCCACGGCCGCTGCTCTGGCTGCTGCCGCAGCTCCCGGCAGCAAAACACCATGGCCCTAAAGGACGAACCGAGTCCAAAATGTGCGTTTCTTACTGCTACTGCTGCTGTTGGAGTCACTGCTGCCGCTGCTACTGCCACGGCTGCTGCTCTGGCTGCTGCTGCAGCTCCCGGCAGCAAAGCACCATGGCCCTAAAGGACGAACCGAGTCCAAAATATACGTCCTGCGGTCGGAACGTCCCTTCTGAAATCCTACAAAAAGCTTGCTGCTGGTGCGGAAAGTTATTATAATCAGTTTTTTACCTTACTGCTACTGCGGCTGCTGGACTCACTGCTGCCGCTGCTACTGCCACCACCGCTGCTGTGGCTGCTGCTGCAGCTCCCGGCAGCAAAACACCATGGCCCTAAAGGACGAACCAAGTCCAAAATGCACGTTTTCCGGGGCCGAAACGTTCCTTCTGAAATCCTACAAAAAGCTTGCCGCTGCTACTGCCACGGCCGCTGCCCTGGCTGCTGCCGCAGCTCCCGGCAGCAAAACACCATGGCCCTAAAGGACGGACCGAGTCCAAAATGTGCGTTTCTTATTGCTACTCCTGCTGTTGGAGTCACTGCTGCCGCTGCTACTGCCACGGCTGCTGCTCTGGATGCTGCTGCAGCTCCCGGCAGCAAAACACCATGGTCCTAAAGGACGAACCGCTTGCCATTCTTAGAGATTACAAGGTGGTGCCCCCCCAGTTATAGCTTGCTTTAAGAACCATAGCAACTAGATGTATCTACCATAAACATCCATAAACACCCATAAGCTGTTGGTGCTGAAATTATCATTTTTTCCCTTTTTAAGACTGCTTTGGCTGCTGCCGCAGCTCCCGGCAGCAAAATACAATGGCCCCAAAGATCCTAAAGGACGAACCGGGTCCAAAATGTGCGTTTCTTACTGCTACTGCTGCTCTTGGAGCCACTGCTGCCGCTGCTACTGCCACGGCCGCTGCTGCAGCTCCCGGCAGCAAAACACCATCGCCCTAAAGGACGAACCGAGTCCAAAATATACGTCCTGCGGTCGGAACGTCCCTTCACAAAAAGCTTGCTGCTGGTGCGGAAAGTATCATTGTTTTACAATTTTCTTAATCAGTTTTTTACCTTACTGCTACTGCTGCTGCTGGACTCACATGCTGCCGCTGCTACTGCCACGGCCGCTGCTCTGGCTGCTGCTGCAGCTCCCGGCAGCAAAGCACCATGGCCCTAAAGGACGAACCGAGTCCAAAATATACGTTTCCCGGGGCCGGAACGTCCCTTCTGAAATCCTACAAAAAGCTTGCCGCTGCTACTGCCACGGCCGCTGCTCTGGCTGCTGCCGCAGCTCCCGGCAGCAAAACACCATAGCCCTAAAGGACAAACCGAGTCCAAAATATATGTTTCCCGGGGCCGGAACGTCCCTTCTGAAATCCTACAAAATCCTACAAAAAGCTTGCTGTTGGTGCGGAAATTATCATTTTCCCGCTTTTTAAGAGCCGCTGCCACTGGCCACGGCTGCTGCTCTGGCTGCTGCCGCAGCTCCCGGCAGCAAAACACGATGGCCCTAAAGCACGAACCGAGTCCAAAATATACGTTTCCCGGGGCGGAACGTCCCTTCTGAAATCTCCTACAAGAAGCTTGCCGCTGCTACTGCCACAGCCGCTGCTCTGGCTGCTGCCGCACCTCCCGGCAGCAAAACACAATGGCCCTAAAGAACACTGCTGCTGCTGCTGCTGCTCTTGCTGTTCCTGTTGCTGTATTGAAGCTGCATCTGCTGCTGCTGCTGCTTCTGGTGGTGGTGATGCTGGTGCTCGCATCTGCTGATGCTGCTGCTGCTGCTCCTGCCGTGCCATGAACCAACCTCTAAGGCAAGAAACCAACAGCCAGACATCTTTTTCGAAACCCACTCGAAACAGCAAAACACCACCTAATTTCGTGCCAAAAATGACGCGAAATCATCTGCAATTGTTCCTGCTGTTCCTGCTGCTAGATTGCTGCTTCTGGTGGTGGTGTGCCTAAACTTGCTTGTCTTTGCTTGCTGCAGCTCCCGGCAGCAAAACACCATGGCCCTAAAGGACGAACCGAGTCCAAAATATACGTTTCCCGGGGCCGGAACGTCCCTTCTGAAATCCTACAAAAAGCTTGCCGCTGCTACTGCCACGGCCGCTGCTCTGGCTGCCGCAGCTCCCGGCAGCAAAACACCATAGCCCTAAAGGACAAACCGAGTCCAAAATATATGTTTCCCGGGGCCGGAACGTCCCTTCTGAAATCCTACAAAATCCTACAAAAAGCTTGCTGTTGGTGCGGAAATTATCATTTTCCCTACTGCCACGGCCGCTACTCTGGCTGCTGCCGCAGCTCCCGGCAGCAAAACACCATGGCCCTAAAGGACGAACCGAGTCCAAAATATACATTTCCCGGGGCCGGAACGTCCCTTCTGAAATCTCCTACAAGAAGCTTGCCGCTGCTACTGCCACAGCCGCTGCTCTGGCTGCTGCCGCGCCTCCCGGCAGCAAAACACAATGGCCCTAAAGGACGAACCGAGTCCAAAATGTACGTTTCTTAACGCCACTTCTGAAACCCGACTAAAACTGAGACTTTTCAGCTTGTTACGCAGGTTTGCCACATCTTGCAGCCAACCAGCCCGCCAATCACAAAAGGCATGGCTTTGTACCACAAAGCTTGTTGCTGGTGCGGAAAGTATCATTGTTTTACAATTTTATTAATCAGTTTTTACCTTATTGCTACTGCTGCTGCTGGACTCACATGCTGCCGCTGCTACTGCCACGGCCGCTGCTCTGGCTGCTGCTGCAGCTCCCGGCAGCAAAACACCATGGCCCTAAAGGACGAACCGAGTCCAAAATATACGTTTCCCGGGGCCGGAACGTCCCTTCTGAAATCCTACAAAAAGCTTGCCGCTGCTACTGCCACGGCCGCTGCTCTGGCTGCTGCCGCAGCTCCCGGCAGCAAAACACCATGGCCCTAAAGGACAAACCGAGTCCAAAATATATGTTTCCCGGGGCCGGAACGTCCCTTCTGAAATCCTACAAAATCCTACAAAAAGCTTGCTGTTGGTGCGGAAATTATCATTTTCCCGCTTTTTAAGAGCCGCTGCCACTGGCCACGGCCGCTGCTCTTGCTGCTGCTGCAGCTCCCGGCAGCAAAACACGATGGCCCTAAAGCACGAACCGAGTCCAAAATATACGTTTCCCGGGGCGGAACGTCCCTTCTGAAATCTCCTACAAGAAGCTTGCCGCTGCTACTGCCACAGCCGCTGCTCTGGCTGCTGCCGCACCTCCCGGCAGCAAAACACAATGGCCCTAAAGAACACTGCTGCTGCTGCTGCTGCTGCTGCTCTTGCTGTTCCTGCTGCTGTATTGAAGCTGCATCTGCTGCTGCTGCTGCTTCTGGTGGTGGTGATGCTGGTGCTCGCATCTGCTGATGCTGCTGCTGCTGCTCCTGCCGTGCCATGAACCAACCTCTAAGGCAAGAAACCAACAGCCAGACATCTTAGAGTCTTTTTCGAAACCCACTCGAAACAGCAAAACACCACCTAATTTCGTGCCAAAAATGACGCGAAATCATCTGCAATTGTTCCTGCTGTTCCTGCTGCTAGATTGCTGCTTCTGGTGGTGGTGTGCCTAAACTTGCTTGTCTTTGCTTGCTGCAGCTCCCGGCAGCAAAACACCATGGCCCTAAAGGACGAACCGAGTCCAAAATATACGTTTCCCGGGGCCGGAACGTCCCTTCTGAAATCCTACAAAAAGCTTGCCGCTGCTACTGCCACGGCCGCTGCTCTGGCTGCCGCAGCTCCCGGCAGCAAAACACCATGGCCCTAAAGGACAAACCGAGTCCAAAATATATGTTTCCCGGGGCCGGAACGTCCCTTCTGAAATCCTACAAAATCCTACAAAAAGCTTGCTGTGGGTGCGGAAATTATCATTTTCCCGCTTTTTAAGAGCCGCTGCTACTGCCACGGCCGCTACTCTAGCTGCTGCCGCAGCTCCCGGCAGCAAAACACCATGGCCCTAAAGGACGAACCGAGTCCAAAATATACATTTCCCGGGGCCGGAACGTCTCTTCTGAAATCTCCTACCAGAAGCTTGCCGCTGCTACTGCCACAGCCGCTGCTCTGGCTGCTGCCGCGCCTCCCGGCAGCAAAACACAATGGCCCTAAAGGACGAACCGAGTCCAAAATGTACGTTTCTTAACGCCACTTCTGAAACCCGACTAAAACTGAGACTTTTCAGCTTGTTACGCAGGTTTGCCACATCTTGCAGCCAACCAGCCCGCCAATCACAAAAGGCATGGCTTTGTACCACACGCGCAACGGCAAAACACCACCTAATTTCGTGCCCAAAACGTAGCAAAGGAACCCTAAAAAGGGGGCCAAACGCCACTTCTGAAACCCGACTAACTCCTTCTGTTCAAAAGACAGCCCCCGGATGGGAAAAATGTGTTTCCAAGCTCAGAAACGGCGCCTCCGCCACGCCCAAACAGCAGGGCCCTAAAGGGCGAAAAGACAGCTCCTTCTGTTCAAAAGACAGCCCCCGGATGGGAAAAATGTGTTTCCAAGCTCAGAAACGGCGCCTCCGCCACGCCCAAACAGCAGGGCCCTAAAGGGCGGACCGGGCCTGCCGGCAACGGCCCCAACGGCCTAACGTTGCTTTCTGAACCTACAAGAAAAGTAGCCGTCTTCGAGCTTTCCAAGCTCAGAAACGGCGCCTCCGCCACGCCCAAACAGCAGGGCCCTGAAGGACGGACCGGGCCTCCCGACAACGGCCCCAACTGCCTAACGTTGCTTTCTGTTGCTGTTGCTCTTGCTGTTGCTGCCATAAAATAAAATTAAAATAGAATCCTGCTGCCTGCTGCCTGCTGCTGCCTGCTGCTGCCTGCTGCTCCTGCCTGCTGCTCCTGCCTGCTGCTGGCTGCTGCCTGCTCCTGCCTGCTGCTGGCTGTTGCTGGCTGCTGCTGGCTGCTGCTGGCTGCTGCTGGCTGCCTAACGCCGGCTGCTGCTGGTTGCTGCTGCCGGATGCTGCCTGCCAGACACCTACTGCTGCCTGCTGCTGGCTGCTGCTGGCTGGTGCGGGCTGCTGCTGGCTGCTGCTGGCTGCTACCTGCTGCCTGCTGCCTGCTGCTGCCTGCTGCTGCCTGGTAGTAAAAGTAGCAGTGCAGCACCTCTTCTTCCCTTACGCGCTCCCCCTTGCATCGACCGGGGTCAGCGAATTATTATTATTCTTTCCTGGCAGCTGTGTCATAAACTCTTTTTCCCTTACGCACTCCCCCTTGCGTCTGCCGGGGTCGGCGGATAGTCGGCGGATATAGTACTGGCTGTGCTTGTCTTTGCTTGTCTTATTCCCTGGCGCGCTCCCCCTTGCGTCTGCCGGGGTCGGCGGATAATATAATATAACGTTATATTGTAATGCAATGTAAAATAATATTGTGTATTCGAATGCAATATGATAAGAGACAATAATATAATAGATATAATATAATATCATACAATGTAATATGATATAATACAATATCATGCAAAATATGTAATGCACAATAAGATCCAATCTAATTACAACATAATGTGATAGAATACAATACGCTATAATATAATACGATATAAGTAAATGTAAATACATCACACGGATGGTTTTGTGTTGTAGTTCTGCCTGTCCGGATTTCCCCGACCCGACGGAAGGCACTGTTTTTTATGACTGTGTACAGGCCACTCTACATAGAGACACCGTCACAGCTTGGGATTCCTATGCTTTGAGCATGTCAGAGAAGAACTTTGTGGAAGTCTCAGTTCAAACATTAAGACATCGACATCGATTGACAGCAAAGTGTTGCTATTTATATAATTGCAGGAGACCAACAAGCTTTGTAGATTTGTATGTAGGTAGCCTCACCTACCGCAACAGCTAATTGTGTTTTGATTTGTGACAATCGAGGCAACATACTGTACATCGAGTTGTAATTGATTCAGCTTTCATATATCCAGATGACGCAGTCACGAAGGATGAGTCCATTCGTTGTGTGCTCGTGAGGTCTATGTAACAGGTGACCTTCCATCAGAGGCCCAGTGAATGTAAGCCGCGCAGATTGTGAGAGCTTTAGGGGTTACACCGGTTACACCTGGAGAGTTTATCTCAAACCGCGCAGGCGCAGGACTTGCTCTCAGGGAACTGGTCCATTGAGTGCAAGGCAAGGGACCAGAGACAGAGACTTGGCACAGATGAACAGAATGTAACAGTCTTAACAGAGAACATCACAGAACATCTGAACAACATTTAAACACATGTATATATATATATGAGATTCCGTCAAAATTTGCGCTGATTATGTACTGGGTGTGCATCGGATGTTGGCTGTTGCATGAAACCTTCTAAAAAAGAGTCTACTGGGCTGCTCAAACTGTGCTGGGTCTTTGTATGCGTGCGTGTGCACAATCTGTCGCAGTATGGCGGCTGGAATCATGTTGGCACATCACTCCTGTCTTCGGCCTATAAGGACAACGTCTTGTGTGGAGAATCTGGGTGGAGCATGTTTTTTCGGCGTACAAACACATTGGCTGGCAAAAGCAAGTGTTCCCTTGAACTGTCCATGAGCAGGACAAGATAAGCTATGAAGTGAAGTCTTGAGCCAAGGAACATGTATGACATGATGAAAAACTGTTCCCACTGGCAAGACGTTTTACTGCAAGAACGCGTGAAGACAAGTTTCTCATTCTCCCCAGAAACTCTTGTAATCCTTAGCCGAGCCTTGGGCCTGTCAAAGGGACATGCTGTAAGGATGCACACCATTATGATCCATTATGATCCATTATGTATCTCAATGTATCTCAATGTATCTCAATGTATCTCAATCTTCATCAATGCAATTTGTGGATTTCTAGTGATTCTAGTGTCATCTAGTGTCATTCACAGAGAGAAAGGATACTCAACCATGGCACAAACAAAAGAGTAGCAGAGGTTGATGCTTGAATTGAATGCTCACACTGGCAAATATGATGCAAAGATGATAAAGTATGCTTCACCCAGGAAGCGCACGGCACCGAAGATTTATACAATATTCTACAATCTTTAAGGGCAAGAGGTAGCAAGTAGCAAGTGAGAGAAAGGTTGCACCGGAGAGTCCCAGTAGTTAAAAATAGTGTTCAAATACGTTCCAATGCTTTCAATGATGTTTTTGTGTCCTTGCGAAACTGCCCGGATTCGATGCAAGGGCTGGACTTCCTGCTATTGTAACTTGTAATCGTCAATGGCTTGTAATTGTACCGGCCTCCCTTAACTGTCATTGAGCATAGCTGTAGGAAACTGGACCGGAAGTCGAGGGGTGACATACTGTAGCTCTTCGAAGCTCTTCATGTTCTTTATGTACGGAACGAGTCCCTTCAGGCCTCCCATGTGCAACTGGGAGTAGCTGAGTAGCTCTGCCCCCGATCTTGAGGTGCCCAGACGATTTGCGGCCGCAAGAACGCTTTACCATCCGACCAACTCTCATCACGCAGCCCCTCGATCAGAACTTATCAGAACTTATCAGAACTTATCAGAACTTATCAGAACTTATCAGAACTTATCAGAACTTATCAGAACTTATCAGCACTTATCAGCACTTATCATAACTTATCAGAACTTATCAGAACTTATCAGAACTGTCCTTGCAGCATGGATTCAGCATGGAGTCTTTAGTAACTTTAGTATTTGATCGTGCTGACCTCAGGCATCAGTTCGAAGACTGGCACCTGGCCTTCTTTTTTGATGCCAGGTCCGCCTTTGCTACCGAGAGCTGCACAGTTTGTTTTTCACCATGAACTATCAGGAAATCACTGATACCTGATACTTGATATGTGTCATTCCATTGCACTCAAGTTGCACCACCATCCCTGTCATTCCCCGTCTCTCTTGCATCTCGGTATCACATTTATTCTGCCAAAAGCCTGTGTGACAAGTGACAGGCTCGCAGCAAAGCCTAAACGCAACTGTTCATGACGTGTCGCTCTGGTCGTCATCTTGTATCAGTGTATATAGATCTCGTTCGCAAAAGGTTGACACAGCCAACAGAATGTATCTATATTTAGTTGGCCTTTCATATTGCAACTGCAAGCATGCTCCGTAGCAAGAGCTGAAGCAGGCCGTTTGTCAAACAAGAGTCCCTCTTCAACATTATGCTGACAGTTTGAGCCTCGAGTCAAAATGATATTTGTCAAAAGCAAACATTATCAAAATCATCTGCCTTCCGTACCGTGAATGTCTGAATGATGGATCCTTACACACACGTGCTAAAAGGGTGCCTCAGCCATTGAAATCGTGGCAAATAGCTTGAGATAACTTCACTCCAGAAGTCGTGCCTTTTCCAAAAATCGACAGTAAATGCATGTGAACGCAATGATTTGCATTGATGTGCTCAGCAATATTGCTTCGTTGAGGCGTTTATTTGCCTGGTCTTGTGTGGAGCATCCATGCAGTTCTCCAAGGTTGGCCACTCAAGACATCAAGTGAAGCAATGTCTTGCGTCCAATGTTTGTATAACACATGTCTAATGATGTCTAATGCATGGTTTCAGTCGCTTGGAATAGCTTGGAGGGAATAGCTTGGAGTTGTTCTGTTCCAGGCTCCTAGATTTCTCATGAGACGGATCATGTTACTGTCCATCTACCCGTCTCGTGCAGGATGCAAATAATTTAGTTTTGAGACCTGTGGAGCGGATGATTGAAAAGGTGCAGCACCCAGTGGTCCTGTGCAATGGCACTAGTGGCATCCCCCTGTTGTGGCACTTGCAGGATGTGCCTCTTTTCTGTCTTTATTTCTTTGGATTTTTGTTGGATCAGATTTATGAAAATATAACTCTGTGTGCGTGTGCCAAAATTGCATCCTATGCAGGTCAATCTGATCAGAGACAACCCCTTAGCCGCCATGAAGATGGCGGATGATGAATTCAAGGCTCCATCGATACTCTAAATCTGCGATGTTTGCGCAATGTGCTTAAGGTGTTTACTGTGATGGTCGGCATATCTCGAACCATTGTGCTGATCAGTCAGACTATCACTAGCTCATTGCGGACAGGGTGAAGAGATGAAGAAGTTTAGGGACACCAACAACAGGCAAGCAGCAAAGTGGCAAATTGACATCGACGACACGGATTGTTGATCCGTGTCAATCCTCCTTTTTTGTTTCGCACGGTGAGCATGTCACATGAAAGCAACATTGGCGAATTCTATTCTCTTCAGACCTTGCGCAAGCCTAGGGAGAAACAGCATGTTTGGCTGGAGAAGTACCATATGGGATGGTTGTCTTGCTGGCATGCTTGCAACTTGACCCTGTTGGCATCGCAACCAAATTTGCTGACTGATTCACTTTCTGCTGCCAGGTCCAAGACAATTGGGTGGCTTACTTTCAAAGGCCGACAGCATTGACACTGGAATGTCCAAAAGCACATCTCAGTCATGCCATTGCACTGACGTCTCCTTTCGGAGGCCATCAAGATGCATTAAGATGCGTTAAGCTCTTTCAAGATCTTTCAAGATCTTTCAAGATCTTTCAAGATCTTTCAAGATCTTTCAAGTTCGCAATACTTCGCAATGCTGTAGCTAGTGGAGCCATTGTACATGTCTTCATGCTATTGGAGGCCCCATTCGGGAAGATGCGTTCGATCCCCAAAGCCGAAGAGACCCTACAAGCTGCAAGAGGGGAGGCTCCATTGAGGTTTTGTTTTGTTCAGGATGATGGAGACTGCCATTCTGGAGAAGACAATCATAAAGATGCTTGGCGTCAATACTGCTTGATACCATTTGATGCCATTTGATATTAGTACATTGCAGCCTTCAAGTTTCTTGCAAGTGAAGCAGCACTTGCAGCATCTAATCCAAGAGGTGCCTTGCTCAAAATGGTGCGTCATGTTTCCCAGTTTTGCATCAAAAAAAACGAAACATGAAGCCTGCAAATGTGTTCGATGTTCTCAGAGAAAACGCTGTATAGTAAAGATACTATTGAAGCCTGAGGCTCGGGTCTTTGCTGGCTTTGGGCTTCGGGGAGGTTCATATCACAAACATTGAGGAAATCACAAGTCTAGCCTAGTCTAGCTTGATGTGCCCTAGAGTTGACAATTCACTACCAACATCTACCAACATTTAATTTGTTGATTTTGTTGCTGTACAATCTGTACAACTTGCTGATTTGTGCGGTCTTTATGCCTCTTAGTGCCAGATGTGTCAGATTGCAGCACCTTCTGCAGGCTGGCGCACGCATTGTGGCAGACAACATGCAGGGCTTGGACTCTGCAGGTGTTAATGCAATGGTGCCAGGCCTGAAACTGTCAAAATTCTGCATCAGGGGACATCAACATTATGAAAATTATGAAAGGAATGTTGTTACTCGGAATGTTCATCAATTTGTTCATCAATTCAACATCTAACTAATCTAACTTGTCCTGTTGCCAAATTGTAGCCAAATGTGGTCCAGAGTCCAGATTGCGCGCGCAGAGTGAGTTAACATCACGCTGCAATGGCATTCAGGCATCATTGAGAAACCATTCCGCAAATTCCTGATGCATCCTGCAGCGTCTTCCTTGATACTCAATGCGTGATTTCATGCGATTCCGTTATATTCCTTTGTCATGTGATATTACTTATGAATACTTATGATATGTTCTGATATTACTTCTAATTACAGTGTATATAATTATGTATAATTGCAATGCAGGCAGAAGGGTGGACTGCATCATCGGCTCTGCCTGTATTCGCGACTTTAGCACCGCGACAGAGGTGCTGCAAGGAAAGGCTGGGGCCACAGGGCCACAGCTCCATCACCACCGGGGCCATACCAAAATGATCCAAAATGTAAGATACATTAAGATACATTACAGTAATTGTTACATTAAGAATATTAAGATACGTTTTTGAGGACCCCTCCCCTTTAAATGTAAAATTGGTCGCTGAACGTCCCTGAGGTGACCTTTTTGTGGGGAGGGTTTTGTTAAATACCGTCAAAATGTAAACTTACATTTTCAAGGTCCCCCTCAAAAACACCTTGAACAATGTATTTTACATTTGGGTATGGTCCGCTAAAAGGGTAGTGATACAGCTCCAACATCTGAGTCTGAGTTCCACAAATCGCTAATTGACCAATGTGCAGCTTCTACAGGAATATTTCAGCCCCGAAGAAGCGATACATTCTGTGGGAAAAAAATTATCCCAGTGAACGGACTTGGCAAATAGAGCAAAGAGCAGACATCAGAGTATGGTGTGGGTGCCAGTCAATGCCTATGTTTTTTCCTGGTGTGGCCTGCTGTTTGTCACTGAGGTTATGACATTTGTCAACCAGATTGCTGAGATTGTACCTTGCTTAGTGACACCTGCGCATCGTCGTGCACATTGGTGCATATTCTTGATTCTTTCCATTAAGTGATGCCAGGGATTTTGTTGCTTTTGTTGTCTTTCTCACAGCCGGCACTTTGCTTCGCAATCAAGGTTCATGGGCTTGTGTGCGAGTTCCATGGAGCTCCAAATAAAAATAGTGGTGCGCTCCTAGGACTGTTTCAGCAGATTCCAACTCGAGCAATTCAGGACGCGCTTATGATCTTTTACTGTAAAATATCTTTCATGTATCTTTTTGATCGCTTGCATTGACTTGTATTGCCACGGAGCTTTAACATGATTTGGCGAGGAATTTAAAGTAATTTAAACTACTTAAACCATCTTAAACCATCTTAAACCATCTTAAACCATCTTAAACCATCTTGCAAGTATGTATTTTACTTAGCTTGGAGATTCTTTCAGATGCTTTCGAATGCTTTGGGTGTTTCAATGACAGAGAAGGTCCGCCTTTTTGGCCCCGAGGTGACAGATTCCTCCTGATTTGGAGACTTGGGAGCACGGACCTTGGCGATCAGAGCAGATGTCCCGTGTTGGCCAGGTCAATTGGATTCAATAGGATTCAGTAGGATTCAGTAGGAGCAATAGGCCTAGTACATCCTAGTACAGTTGCACAGGCCTCATTACACTTCGTGCATGTTCGTACATGGTGCACGTGCCACAGGGATCAGGTACAAATGCAACTCAACCCTTGCCAACTGGACACCAGCTAGAACTTTCTCAGATTTCACTATCTTTCGGCAGTTCCTAATTTTCCTCTGGGAGAGCAACCGAAGGACCTGGGATTTGCTGGAGTCGTTTGTTGAATTCAATTCAGGCCTGAATAGCCAGCAGCAGATGCGCTTGGCTGATATGGCAATGGTGTCATGCATTAGGACTGCAATGGTGAGAAAAGCAACTGGTCATCACTCAATTGGGGGCGGAACTTAATCTGATTGGGACTTGATCAAGTTGAGAAGTTTCAGATTTCCAGATTCAAGCTAGTTCAAATTCAGCAGATTCATGTCAACGCAATATGCAGATATACAAGATGAGAATAGATGAGATACATGCAGAAGTTGTTCAAAATTTGGTCGGCGTGAGGATTCTGGGCTGTGCGCACAGCAACAGAACTCTTGCTGACTATCGTACCCATCCAGGTGGATCCCTCAGCCCATCACAGCCCATCACAGCCCAAGGTTTGTGAATCCATAGAGCAGCATTGGTAACACCATTGGTATTTGCATTTTCCCTTGAACATGCATCATACGTCAGCTTCAAACTGTCAGATCTGTCAGCAACCTGGTATTTCTTTCCAAAGAATACCCAACCGAAGCATATCGAAGCACGAACCAAGGACTCATACAAAGACTGGGCGCGAACTGCAGAGTGAACCTTAGTTTTGGACTTCACCGCGGCTGGGCCATCGAGGCTCAACCCATCTCAACCGACGCTGACGAGAAAACAAGACCTGTAGCATTTTGTAGAATTGCATTGCAATGCATAGCATATATAGCACTGTACCGTAGTACACTGGTTGTCTTGCAATGAGCAATTTTGGAAATCTGAGTCTTTACACATCTGTCTTTATGTTGTATTTATCATATTATTCTTGTTTAAAAACCTGTCCTTTGCAGTGTGACCCGACTTGGATTTTGCAGCACGTGAAAGGGAGTGGCAAGAAAAGTTTCACTTCCAGAGGTATGCGTCTTTGGTTGTATGATGTTGTATACTCGTATCTTCTTGTATCTTCTTGTATCTTCTTGTATCTTCTTGTATCTTCTTGTATCTTCTTGTATCTTCTTGTATCGTCTTGTATCTTCTTGAATTTTCTTGTATCTTCTTGTATCATCTTATATCTTCTTGTATCTTCTTGTACCTTCTTGTATCTTCTTGTATCTTCTTGTATATCCTTGTATCTTCTTGTATCTTCTTGTGTCTTCTTGTATTTTCTTGTATCTTCTTGTATCTTCTTGTATCTTCTTGTATCTTCTTGTATCTTCTTGTATCTTCTTGTATCTTCTTGTATATTCTTGTATCTTCTTGTATCTTCTTGTATCTTCTTGTATCTTCTTGTATCTTCTTGTACCTTCTTGTATCTTCTTGTATCTTCTTGTATCATCTTGTATCTTCTTGTATCTTCTTGTGTCTTCTTGTATCTTCTTGTATCTTCTTGTATCTTCTTGTATCTTCTTGTATCTTCTTGTATCTTCTTGTATCTTCTTGTATCTTCTTGTATATTCTTGTATCTTCTTGTATCTTCTTGTATCTTATTGTATCTTCTTGTATCGTCTTGTATCGTCTTGTATCTTCTTGTATCTTCTTGTATTTTCTTGTATCTTCTTGTATCTTCTTGTATTTTCTTGTATCTTCTTGTATCTTCTTGTATCTTCTTGTATCTTCTTGTATCTTCTTGTATCTTCTTGTATCTTCTTGTATCGTCTTGTATCTTCTTGAATTTTCTTGTATCTTCTTGTATCATCTTATATCTTCTTGTATCTTCTTGTACCTTCTTGTATCTTCTTGTATCTTCTTGTATATCCTTGTATCTTCTTGTATCTTCTTGTGTCTTCTTGTATTTTCTTGTATCTTCTTGTATCTTCTTGTATATTCTTGTATCTTCTTGTATCTTCTTGTATCTTATTGTATCTTCTTGTATCGTCTTGTATCGTCTTGTATCTTCTTGTATCTTCTTGTATTTTCTTGTATCTTCTTGTATATTCTTGTATTTTCTTGTATTTTCTTGTATCTTCTTGACCCTTCTTGTATCTTCTTGTATCTTCTTGTATCATCTTGCATCTTCTTGTATCTTCTTGTATATTCTTGTATCTTCTTGTATCTTCTTGTATCTTCTTGTATCTTCTTGTATCTTCTTGTATCTTTTTGTATCTTATTGTATCTTATTGTATCTTCTTGTATCTTCTTGTATCTTCTTGTATCTTCTTGTATCTTCTTGTATCTATGTGCATTCTTCGCAACAGGGTGCGGTTGGAAGCGAATTCAAGATTGATGCGTGCTGTTCTCAGACTTGGTTTGCCAGAATTCGAATCCACGGGATAAAGAAAACTTCTGAAACACCCAGCTCTGACAAACTGTCTGTTTCTGAACCTTCGACAGTGCAACCAATGCATGCCTTCTATTTTGGACAATCCGGTTCTGATTGATTTTGCTGGTCTATGTTTATCAGATTATCACTTGAGGGCCTGAGCAAACTCAGCTGGGCCCATCTCCAAAAGTCTCCTTGCATTACATAAATTACATACATACCGATACCTTTACAATCCTTTACAGACCTTGATGATCCTTGATGCTTTCGACTTTGACTCAGGTGGATGCGAACATTGTGAAATTGTTTTTTCTGATTTTCTCAATGTTTTTACATGTTTTTCTTTCTGCCCAACATGATTCGCAAAAGCCAATCATCTCAGGTCCTATTTGTCGCCAAACGTAAGCATTGCAGAAAGCTTGGAGCATGCCACCAAGGCTGATTTCGACATCTTTTCAACGTAGCATTCCTTTCAAGGGTCTGAGAATAGACTGGCATGTAATGGCATGTAGCATCACAAGTAGCATCCTGTAGCATCCCTTTTTGTGGAAACGTTTTTCGGGAAGGCAATTTGCACATTTGCATACGTTTGCAAGAATGTGTGAACATGTGCACAAGGCAAAAAAGAAGATCGAGATTACCTACTCCTATCCTGCTCCTTTTTCGTTCTCTGGCAGTGCTCTGGAGGTCTACACGGTGAGCATGCTGGTCTCGCAGGACTGTGTGTCGTTGTGCTCCAAGGCCCGTGATATCTTGTGAGACATTTTTGCCCAAGGCAAAGCTCCAAGTTGGTCTAAGTTGGTCCAAGGTGTAGTCGCCAGCAATCGCTTGACATTGCTGCTACTTTGCTGCTACTGGTAGGACTCGTAGAGAATACTAAGCATAGGGCAAAGTCTTAGGTTTAGAATTTCAGGGAGGCTTGGTGGGGGCGCCAGCTATCTCCAGCGCATGTCGCTGCTTGTTAATGAAGGTCGTCCTTCCCGTCTATAGACGGGTTAAGGTCAAGGTCATCGGAGGTTAATCAAGGCGTGTCATCTAATCATATCTAACTAACACATCTTTCAAACCTACTCGTAGATAGCAAACATATCGGGGAAACGCTCTTGCTAAAAGCAAAACTGTAAGTGACTGCAATTATCTTTAATTGCTTTACTGGTTTGGCCTAATTTTGTAAAATTATTGTTCGAACACCAGGATTGTCCTACCTGCTGTTTGTTCGAATCTCATCAAAGCATCAATTTGAGGTAAGGGTGATCGAATCAAATCTTGGAGCACTTGTTGTGCAGTGAGTGAAGCAATATTGTCGAAACACCTTCACGCCCAGACATCCGGCATAGATGTGCCACGCGGGTAAAAACTGCGTGATTCCAATGTACCTCTGCGAGATCCAACGTTGGTGAACTGTGGCGTTGAATTACTGCGAGTACTTGTTGTAATTGTGCAAGCGTTCCGAAAAGTCACCTTTCAACATTGTGAGCGCTGGTTTTGGCTAGTCACTGTGGAGTGATTCCAAAGTTCTCAATCATGACAAGAAATTACTATTGTAATTATCATATGATTATTGTTTTGTTGTCTTCCGCACGTTTCATGGTCATTGTTTCCAGGTCTTGGCAAGGCAGTGCAGACTCATTGACAAGGTGGAGAGACGGAAATGAACTGAGTAGAGCGAGCCCGCTTAAGTAACTTCATTCAGTGGGGAATGTATGTTTGAAGTGTCTTGTGTGTGTGTGTGATTGTGTGTGCATGTTTTATATTGGTATATATTGGTTTATTATTGCACTTTTTGGAGTTTCCAAGCACAAAAGAAGTGCTGAACAGATGCACTAAAATGCACAAATAAATCGTTGCAACCTTGTGTCCGTTGGGGATTAGTCGTGGTTAGTCGCTTCAGACTCAAGCACTTCATTGCAGGTGACAATGAAGGGATCCAAGCTTCCTTTGAGCCTGTTTGTTTACGATGTGGCGTGTTCCTCAGCCCTGTTTGGTCTCTGCTTCAAGATTGTGGGACATGATCGGGACGTCAAAGGATGTCAAAGGGATCCTCTCCTTTCAACATCTCCTAGGAAACTCAACGCATGCCAGTTCGGGAGTACAGGCCCGCAGCAACCAGAGACTCAAATCAGTTGCTGGCTCGTATACCCTCAAAAAGTTGGTGGTACTTGTGGGGTTCAACACGGTTCAACATGTTAAAATCACTTTGGATCTCAGATCGAGCTCCACCACAGGTCCTTTGCTGACCGAGAAGTAAGAGCTTTTATGATCTCTTCATATCTCTTCTAGGTAGCATGTGAACTGGTGATGTCTCTGGTGATAAAGGTGCATGTACATGAATGTACTGGTGTCACAGTTCACAGTGTCACACATCAAATATGTTGATATTTCTGCTTGACTCTTAGATTGCAATAATCTTGTCCGCATTTGTCAGCGCTGACAGTAATCATTTGGAGTGGAATGTGCGGCAGCGCTTCAAAGCCCGCCAGCTCTTCGAGGCAGGTTCCAAAGCGTTCTTTGTTTAGTTGTCTGAATGTGTTTGAATCCTTTCTCCATCTTTTTCCCCAAAGCTCGTGCGAAGGTTTCCTTGGAAAGAGCGGCTGCCAATCATCATATTCCTCGTCATCATAATGATCTACTGTATGACAATGAAATATAATCATCATCATTTTCATCGTCATCATCGTCATCATCATCATCATGATAATGATGATGTTGATCATCATCAACAACAAGACTTACACATTGACATCTACAACTTCACATGTGCAGATGTGCAGATACAGGTGTATAGATGTAGGTGAAAGCATCTACACATTTGCACTTGTATAAATGCAATTAATTGCAAATGTCTAGCTTCAGGTGTACAGATGTAGGTGAAAACTGTCAAAGCTTCTGTCTGTACATGTGCCTGTGTGTACAAAAGTTCTCTGTGTGTAAAAGCACTCGTGCGTAGCAGCATTTCAGATGTGTCTAACAGTTTCTTTGTGTCAAGGCTTCTGTATAAATTTCTGTATGTAAAGGCACCTGTGTGTAAGCGCTTCTATGTGTCAAAGCTTGTGTGTGTGAGAGAACCTGCGTGTAAAGACTTTTGTGCCTAAGAGTTTTCAGTGTGTAAAAGTTTCTGTGTGCTATGGCTGTTGCAAGGCACCTGCGGTTAAAGGCGCCTGTGTGTCAAAGTTTGGGTGTGTAAATGCATGTAAATGCACCCATTTGATCCCATTTGTAAAAGTTGTTTGTGTGTAAAGAAAAACATGTGTGTAAAAGTGTTTGTGTGTAAAAGCACCTGAGTGTAGAAGCGGCATCATCTGTGTGTGTGTGTCAAAACTTTGTGAATACTTCTGTGCCTAAAGTGTTTTCGGTGTAAAAGTATTTCTGCGTAAAAGATTCTGTGTAACAGCGTCTGTGTGTAGAAGGTTTTGTCAGTACAAGCCTTTGTGTAGAAAAGTTTTTGTGTAAAAGTGTGTGTGTGTAAACGTGTTTCTTGTGTAATTCTTGTGTGAAAGCTTTGGGATCACCATCATCATCAACACTATCATCACCGCCATCGCCATCATTATTATCACCAACATCACGTCATCGTTTTTATCATAGATATTCAAGCAAGCTCGGCCCTCTAATGTTCACACGCAATTCAATCAAGTCTAGTCATTCTTCTGATAGATCGTATCAAAGCATATTCTGGAGGCAAGACAAATCGTACTGGTATCTTGGCAAGCGGACCCCCACTCACACGCACGTGTTCACTACATTTTATCTACATAAACCAGGGACACGGGCACTTTAGCAATGCCTACTCCTACAGTTTGTATAGACCCAAACCACACTGCTCGCAGTGAGCTTTCAATCTTGGCACAAAGCAGGCGTTTAGAACCGTTTAGAATATTATATTGCCAAGCCAGGGATACTAGTAATGGCACTACTGTAGTGCTCTCTTTTGTTTATGGGGCTTATAGGCTGCTTGTTGATCTTAAGACTGGCTGGCAACTTCTCCGCATTCTGCGGGATATGTCCTGATTTGATTCCTTAATTCTGTGCTGCGAAGACATGAAGACATGACTTCGTACGTATTCGTACTTCTCTAGAAAAGCTTAGAAAGCAGGCCAATGGCGATGTAGAGATGCTATCACAACATGTTTAAAAAGAAACCATGGTATCGCGTTCGCTTATTCACGCTTGAAATAGTCTGTAACCCGCTTCAATTGTTGCAAACTCTGGTTTGAACCAACGCTACCGATCAGCTTGCGCCTTCTGCGAAGTCTTGATTGTGCGAACTGACGTTGATGCATTGATCACCGTGGATTTGTGTTATTTGCGTTGTGTTTCTCTGCGATTTGCTGGGCATTCGCTGTGTTTTGCTTTGTGTTGCTTGAAAAGTGCAGGTTGAGAAGACTAGAAAATGGGCCTCAGATGTCAACATCGTCCTCCCGACTTTGTGACAACACTGAACATGTAGGAGCAAGATCACAAACCCTCATATGATTCATATGGATTTATATGGATTCATATGGATTCATATGGTGTTTTTGCACTAGCTGCATTCTCTTCCGCTACCCAGAATGATTTGGAATCAGCCAGGCTTTGCACTGTTCCGCAATGTGGATTGTGTTTTTTCCCGAATGTCTGCCAGGTTCAAGATTTTGTCATCCAGAGCGACGATGTGAAGCTGATGCGCAAAGTCTACACTACCGACTTCCAACAATTATTCAACATGGGGTGCCCTTGTAATATGAAGACATCAATGATCCGGATCAACAATACATGATAATGATCAAACTGACAATCAATATGTATATACAGTGATGTATAGACATATGACAGGCAATTATTGACACACACACATGTATATATATATAATATACATACACATATTATACACATACACACGTGCAGACGCGTGCCTACATACACATATACATAATACAGTATATATATGTACATATGTTTATGCGTGTATATATGTGACAATATGTATGTATGTATGTATGTAATGTAATGTAATGTAATGTAATGTAATGTAATGTAATGTAATGTAATGTAATGTAATGTATGTATGTATGTATGTATGTATGTATATAGTATATATATATACATATGTGTATGTGCATACAGAGATGTATGTGCAATATACATCAATATACTGTGTGTATATCGATACACATGTGGATGCACGTGTACATACATACACAAATTTGTGCTGATCCGTGGTGTCACGTTAGCAACTTGCCTTTTTCAAGGTCTAAAGATGGATTTGTGCCATTTTATGCAGGTACCAGAACTACTCCGAAGGTGAGTGGCGTGTAGCCCGACGACTACTGAAGGCCATTGGCAGACAAATTTTGAAGCTGGTGCAGCTGCAGCGGGTGGTCAGATGCTAACAGACGCTCATAGACGCTAAGACCGCTAAGAGATCCTATCTGCTGTGGCACTGCTTCACCCGAGACTGATGCAGGAAACACAAGGCATGCTCGGCTTCCAGGCCAACGCACTGCCGGCAACTCCTAAGTGAAGTGTGTTTGCAAACAACGCAACTCTATCATGAAATTAACCAGCTTCGTGGCAGGATGGCCCCAGTACTGCCTTGTTGAACTTTATGGAGACCTATCACTTTGAGGCATCAGAGTTGCTACGTCGACTGCACGTGCTTACGTCAACTTGAATGCCAGACATGAGAGATGACATATATGACATGAGATTGAGTTGTCTGACTTGTTCGGCGGACCCCGCGAGTTATTATTTGCACAGCAGGCCCCACCAAAGTGGATGGGCGTCCGGGACATCCTTTAGTGCCAACCCCAAGGTTGGGATGGTGTGGGGCAATGCCCATGACTTTCATCAGAGCACAATGAATGACAGGAATATAACGAAGAGGAGCTAAAGTGTAGGAAAGGCAAGGGTGGATGTTAGTGGTGTCCAGGTGATGTTGTGATTCTGGACTATATAAGACTATATATATATGCATACAATGCATATACATATGTTCACCAATACACGTATTGTTGGTTGTGAATCATTGATAATGATTGATCATCATGAATACTAGTGATATGATGGGAAGAGGGATGAGGAAGACAATACTGAGAAAAGTGACCAGGACCGCGGTCACAACCACTGCAATAACAGAAGAATAACACAATGGCAACAATAGCAGCCAGCAGCAGCAACAACAGCAGCGACGGCGGTGACGAGGAGGAGGACGACGAGCACGACGAGGACAAGAGGAAGGTCAAGAACGGCAACCAACACAACCACAACACCACAACAACCACAACAACAACAACAGACGCAACAACAGACGCAACAACAGACCCAACGAACGCAACAAACGCAACAACCACAACCGCAACAGCCGCAACAGCCGTAACAGCCGCAACAATCATGGGAACCACGGCAACAACAACAACCACAACAACCACAACAACACAACAATCACAACAGCCACAACAACCACAACAAAAGCAACAACCGCAACAACCACAACAAGCTCGAGAACCACAACAACCACAACAATCACACAGCAACCACAACAGCCACAACAATCACAACAGCCATGGGAACCACAACAACCACAACAACCACAACAACCACAACAATCACACAGCAACCACAGCAACCACAACAGCCACAACAATCACAACAACCATGGGAACCACAACAACGACAACAACCACAGACACTGACAACGACAACGCCTGTGACAACGCCGGCAACAAGGACAACAAAGACAGCAAAACGAAGAAGGAGAAGAAGGAGAAGACGGAGAAGAAGGAGAAGAAAGGATGGGAATGAGAGGGGTCGTCAGCATCATCAGCATCATCATCATCATCATCATCATGATCATGAGAAGGAGGGGGACGACGACGATGACGATGATGACGATGACAACGATGATGCTGTTGCTGTTGCTGTTGCTGCTACTGCTGGTGGTGGCGGCGGCTTCTTGCCGCTTGCGCTTGCTGCGATTGTTGTTGTGCCGCTGATCGCTCATGGTAGTAGTATTGCGGTTGATGATGCCAATGACACTGCCGTGAGGGCTTTGCGCCCATGGGCTCTACATGCACAGTTTCGTACGTGTTGTTTTCCTGAGGCACTGAGCAGTGCAATTTAACAACAACAATTTATAATTCCCTCATTGGGAGCAAATGTAACGTGCGATTTCTTCCCGACATTTCCGATACCGGAATGGGAAACTGCAATGATTCAGCTGCGCTAGAAAAGTGGGAAGATGCATGCGCAGAAAGCATGGACACAAGGCCGGAATCATATTGATTGATCCACGCTGTTTCCACAGTCCACTTTGTCAGAGGGCAGCTGAGTTTCATCGTGAAGCGATGGTAGAAGCAACCCAGTTTCACATCCAGTCCTCCCAGACGACAAGTTCTGCGTTTGGTCATGAAAAAGTGTTCGTCTCGTTATGTATTCAAAAATCGACAGATTGGACAGGACATGATATGTGGTGTTTCATTGTTTTTCTCAAGATGTTTCTTGCAATTCTTCAGCTGCTATTTAGTGCAGGCGCATGTGCAGGAATGTGCAGATTGTTTAGCCTTTAGCAACATATACATTCACTTCGACTTTCCGATTGTTTTTTCTTGCCGAAGTTAGCCAGCGAACCGGGAGTCAAGGCTGTGAGCAAACATGAAATGCCTTGAAATGCCAGATCTGCATGACAACTGCAGCTTCAGCGATCTCTATCACCGCACTGGCCGCCCTTGCTAAAATGCACTGGCAATATGTGGCAATTGGACACACCAACTTGGACGAAGCGACTGAGACATCCAGAGATATGATATCTACTCGTAGAAGCCAACCCATCTAGACAAATGTGTGGCAATGCAAAAGTGATATCATGAACAAATGCACCATCTTATTCGCTTTACCAGGTTGTATAATATATATATAGTATCCAGAATTTATATATGAATTTATGGGTAGGTGATTTACACCCCCACGTGAGGAAGCAACCTTTTTATGTCACTGCTTCATAATCGTTGGTCCGACTCTTCCTGATTCACTGAATGCCACTCGGAGCAATTCTCAGCATAAGTAGCATTTACAACACTGGTATCGGAACAAATGGCTTGTCAGAGAACAGGTGCAAAAGCTCAGTGGCATTGCTGCAGAAGCTTGTTGCAGCCAGTTGTAGCCTTTCAGCCCACTAGTTGCCCAGCCCGATGAACCCTAGTTAGCCATACTTTTTCACTAAATTATAGATCACTATAGTAATTCAGGTCACCATGTGATTGCATAAATCATTTGCAGAAGCCATGTGACTACATGTGCTGGAATCCAGCAGAAATTGGGTGTGGATTTCTCAGAACCAAGTTCGTTGGTTGCCAAGCTTCAGTCTTGTCTCTGTCCAAGATGCTCTGGTTGGTTTTGCTATCATGTTGAATAATAAAAAACGAAAAGTACCGCACAAGGCGGTGGCGGAAGTTTCAAAAATAGGAAACTATAGGAGAGGTTGGTTGTTGTGAATCACAGATGGCAGAGTGAATCCACTGATGGTCCGAACGGTGGTTGGAGCTGTGTTTTTTGGAGTGGTTGCAATGGTTGCAGTGGTCACCTCACCACAGCTGCTGGATGTAGTGTGGTGTAATGCAGTTGTAGTTGTAGTTGTAGTGTAATGGTAGTTGTAGTGTAGTGTAATTAGTGTAGTGTAGTTGCAGTTGTAGTTGTAGCTGTGGTGTGGTGTAATTAGTGTAGCGTGCTGCACTGTAGCGTTGTGTACTGTAGTGTGGTATAATGCGGTTGGGAAACAGTTTGAAAAGGTCACTGGGTCACTGCCTTAAGTGAAAAATTGGCTGCACTTATTTCCACGTTGGGTCGAAGCTAGCATGGACAAAACGACGACACCCTCATAGGCTCGCTGATCGTGAAGAAGTTGGGATAGGGCAGGGACCTGGCCGCAAAAACGAAGGTCGATGTCGCCAAATGCCACGCCTGTCACGCAAAGTGCCGCAGCGCCCCGGGCAACTAACGGCGACCAAGCGCGCCACCAGATCCAGCCCAGTGCCATAAAATGGCACGCCTACGACGCAAAACGAAGGTCCATGTCGCCAAGCGCCACGCCTGCCACACAAAACCTAGGTCGATGTCGCCCACTCAAAACGATGGTTGTCACGCCTGCCACGCAAAGTGCCGCGGTGCCCAGGACTTGGGGGGTGCAATGGGGTGCACCAGATGGGGATAAACAAGAACCCTACACAAAGATGCGGGGAAAAACACAGTGAATCGCGGCTTTTCTACCTTTACGCGCACCCGCAAATCTTTCTGCTGACTCTTTCTCTTCTCTGATCTTCTTTCTTTCTTCTCTTCTCTTCTCTTCTCTTCTCTTCTCTGACTCTTCCCACCTCTGCTTTTTCCATCTGTCCATATTGCGGGAAGTTCGACTTCTAAACTTCCTTCGATGATCTATGTACTGCGTACAGTAGGTGAAACAGATTAAAATTAAATTAGGACGCTGGTGTGCGTTGTTGTTTACGGCAAAGTGCTTGCTGCATAGCACCTCAAGTTCCTTGAAAGCAGACAAATGGGTTCAAACGGTTTTAACTTCCTGAGCCACCAGCAGCCATCACAGCAGTTTTGAGGTCAGGAATGATATATAATCAAGCAGAACCGCGGGCAGGCTACTGCTCTAAGTTTTGAGATGAAGAGAAACTGCCACGGGTGGATTGCCATTTGGAATTGATGCCTGCCACGAATTTTGAACTTTCGAGGGTCAACATGGTCACATGGTGATTGAGTGAGCATGGTCACTTGTCTGAAGCTGAGTGAGTGTGAGTGTGTGTGTGTGCTCTGGTGCAGTCTATTCTCCAGTTCTTTGGCGCGCACCATCGATCAATAGACTACATAGTCATGGTCGCAGTCCTAGAGCGATGCAAGAGCACCTTAGGCCAGTCAATGGCGGAAGTGAGAAAGAACGCATCAGTATTGGTTGGACACTGCAATTGGTTCTCATGATGTGTTCCTGGCCTCCGGGACAAGCTCTTTCTCTTTCAGGGGTTCAGTGCAAGCACTTGCTGTATCAGGTGGAAGATGGTCAAAGTACTTTTCTGGACGTGCAAGTTTGTTCTCTCAGCCAGCGTGTTGATTGCAAGGTCCGATGTGTCCAAGCCAATGGCGGCAACTGCGACACTGGCTGGGACAGTCAGGTCTTATGTGCACCTTGGCCCCATGCGTTTAATTTGCGGGTCTTTTCAACGCAATTTCGAAAATCTTGTAGGGAAAGGCCAGCGATTCTGGCATTTTATTATGAGAGCTTGATTTTTCCGTTCTTGAGTCATTTGGAACTCAAGATACTGATCTTAGATGCTGATTCATTCCCTCAATGCGGCATTACACTTGCATATTTGCATTTATAGTCTTAGTCATCAACGGAATCCATGATGCGTTGATGTTGCTGCTATGCAGAGGATTGCAGGTGATCCATACAGTGCCATACAGTCTGATCATGACCTGCCCTGAGTGACTTGTTAATGGAGATCTATAAGCCAAAGCAACTAAAGTATAGAATGTATATACATCATTATACATCGAAACTTGGTTCTGGTGCATTCTGTTGAAGACCATCATTGTGTGTGTGAGCGTTGCATGATGTTACATGTTCATTGCAGCATATTGCAACAACCGTTTGGTCACTTTGTCATTCAAACTGGTTGGTTCTTGACCGAGGTGCTGCAGCTTGCAGCTTTGGGGCAAAGCTTTCTCCAAAGGCTTGCGGACTTTGCGACGTGGGACGAAGTGGAAGTGTTGACAGATGTTGTCAGGTAGCGTCGGCTGTACTA